CTAAACACAGAAAATATTTACAAATATTCTGCTCAGTTCTTTAAAATGCTCTTCTAAGAGATTATAATCAAATTTAGACAATTTCAAATATTAATCCACTGTATAATTCTGATTAATATTTGAAGAAATAATTTATCCCTATAAATATATTACATGTTATTGCTGGTAGCATAGAAAGAAATTGATCTTCTATATTAGTCATTCCAGTTTATTCTAACTCTCTCTATAGTGTTCTAATTTATTCCTTCCTGGAATTTTTTTACTTTTAGTAATGACACAGTTATACCGAGAGACTTTAAACCATCAAGATATGGACAATAAACCTAAATAAGTGTATGTGTAATAAATAAAATAGTGAATACTAATCATTCACACTCATTCATATATGTATTTTAGTTGGTAATCAATGATTCCTTTTATATGATATGTATTTATTATAATTCTTTATAGTTGTTTCCTATTCATTACTCTTTGTATAATACACTTAGGAGCTATATACAAATAAAAAATCTAGGGGTGAAAATTTTATTATGCTTAGCTGAATAATAAAATAGGCAATGAGCAGAGCCTTTGTAAACATTGAAGTTGTTGAATTTATTTTTGAAATTTACAAAGAATAGACCCATTTTATTCAATATAAACTCTACAAGGTTCACTGCAAACTAAGCTTCTTGGGCTCTATCCTACACTAATGCGCAGTGTCCCAGGAATCTCCAGTTTAGCAATTTCCCCAGGTGATTCTTGTGACAGCTCTCCTAGTAGGTATTTGACAGGTTAGAAAAGTTTGTTGTTGGGCAATCCATGATTTAACTTAAAGGAATAAATATTAGCTTTTAAAATTCTTATTCCAATGATTCAGTGCTCTCGTTATCTTTTAATTTTTGTTTCATCAGTTTAATGAGGGGAAACTTATTCTTTAGAATTACATGAATGAAAGTGTCTATTAATTTTTTTAAACTTTATAGTTATTGACTCTTAGGGTTTCCCCCACCCTACTCCATTCTATTCTGCCTCCTCCTTTTCCTTTCTCTCGTTCTTCTCCTTTTCCTTTGTTGCTTCAGCATCAGTGTCAGTGATCAAAGTTTCTATATTCTTTCAGACATACTCAGCCATTACAATGGAATGACTTTTAAGAATGAAATGACAGCAAAGAGAAAGTCATCACATGCTATATCCCAGTCTGAAATGAATCCGAAAATGTAGAAGTCTCTTGACAAGAGCGTTCGTCACAATAAGACTCACTTTTGTCCTGTTTAAAATGTTCATTTAGCCTGCTCTGGTAAAATTTCATTATTCATTTGATTTCATAATTAATCATATGATACTGGAGAAGACAATGCAGAGGTCTTACTACAAAATAACATCTGTAGTGCTATTCTTTGAACTTTTTAAAGTTCACTCCTGTTTTAATCCACAGGTTTCATAAATGGTAGAAAGATGGAAATCCTATTTATCAGCAAACAATCAACTAACCAATCTCTCATTTCTGACATGTTAATCTACAAGGAATCTTAATTAAACAACAAAAGAAGTGTGTAGATATTAATAGAAAAATATCTGACTGAAATGTAATGCTTATGTTATTTCCCGTAGAAGGCCCTCTCTTTATCTCATAAAGTTACTTAATTGTATTCACTCAGTGAAATGCATCGTATTTTGCTAAAGAAGGAAGTATTAGAAGTTCTGCGAGTGGTAGACAGCCCTTTTCTCTGCTTGGAAACTCAAAAAGGAAGCTTTCACTTTGGGTTTATACTGGGTCTCTTCTTTCTCAGAGACCTGCACCCCCCATTGCCCACCTTAGGGCAGGGAAGTCTGAGAAGACTTTTTTTATTAAATAAAATAATAATTTAGCTACCGTCACTGCTATCTCCCTTTAGTATAACTGTTATATTGTAAGTGTGTCAATAGCAAGGCGAACCTTAGGAGTGTCTTGGTTTCTTCCATAGATGTTTATATACTATGGTGAGGATGGTAATTCTAAAAGAGCAATATTTCCGAATGACAGCCCAGAAGTCAAGTATAAATAATATAATGTTTCCCCACCTACTGCCAGAGCAGGACATCCTAAGGAGGACTGTGTAGATGGTTAAATGATGAATTAATTGTGGAGGGAGTCTTTTCTGATACTTCTCTTGATGTAAAGCAAGTAAGAAAAATTAGGGTCAAAATACTTCAGAGGGCACTACTGCTCATCTCCACCTTCCTCTTTTCTCTATTCCACATAGCAAGACTCTGAAAAAATGCATGCATGTTCCATAATTTTGGTATAGAATTCACCTGGTTCAGCTTTTTTTTTTCAACACTGCAGCAAGGCCAAGTCTTTTCCAGACGTGTACTCTCCACACTGTGTACATAGTAAACTACATTCCCCTTCCCATGCCCATGCCCAAAGTCCCTCTCCTATCCCACAGAATGGGGACAATATCCAGAATAGGACCCTAGGAGTTCATTAGCTCCCCCCACGCCTTTATCGGCCTTCTTTCTGCACTACACGGATGCCCTATTTATTGAACTAGACAAGTCTTTTTCCATTTGGCCCTAACCCGGGCTGCTGTCCCTGGTGCTGAACTATGTCAGCCCATCGAGAAGTATGCTGCTGGGTTATTGGGGCTGAATAGAAAACCTGGCTGGCTGATTTTAAGAATGCTTGGTCAGAAGCAAGCAACACTCTAGTGTACAGAACCGGAGACACCCCCAATTTCTCGGTTACACATATCTCTCTGTGTGATCCAGGACCCCATTTCAGGTTTCTTCCCCAGACCCCCACCCAAAACGACTCCAACATGGCCTCAGATGCCGGTGAACATCAACACAGCCCACCTAGATAACAGATTGGAGCAATGTCAAAACGCTACTCCTGAACGCAGTCTGTGTTGTTAGCTTTTCCACATAAAACACAGCAGAAAGATACATAAAATAATAAATAAATGAACACATAAACAAAAGTGACCTTTCTCTCTCTTCCCTCTTTTTCCACACCATGTATTCATACTCATCTACATTTCAAAGCCCAAATCCTGGGAGAGCATTCTCATACACTTGGGTGGTCTCCCTTAGTTCCACATCGCCAAACCCTTCCCCCATCTCTCCGTAACAAAACGACGCCAGAAAGGGCACATCTTACCCAGGGTAGAGCAAGAGCAAGAGCAGCATCCACGCCGTCATTTTCTGGGAATATATCAGAGGCAAGTAGACTGGGCTTCTTGTGCTCCGTGTATTTGGCGAAGTCATCGCTTTTTTCCCCCCTGTGCTCCCCCCACCCCCTCACTTCTTTCTCTTGGTTGCAGAAGAATCCCTCCCCTTTGTATTGTTATTATACTTATGATCTGATGGCGGCTCCCCCCACCTGACCCTAGTAGGTCCCGTCGCTGGGGAGATGTATTGCTACCAGATTCAAAAATTAATATTCAGGAGGCAGAAATAAGATCAGCACAGACGCTTGTATCTAGATACCATCAAAGCGTCAGCTCAGGCAGCGGCTTCCAAGTCTAGGGGAATAATGTAATTGAGGTAGGGGGAGGGTGCAGGGAGAAGCACGCCAAAGCAATTAAGGGAGAGAGAAACGCCTGCTTTACACACGCCCCTCACACTCTCCTATACTCTCTGCGATCTATCCAGTTGTGTGTGTGTGTGTGTGTGTGTGTGTGTTCAAAAGAAGGAAGTAGACAGAAAGCACTAGAGTTTTTGCGTAATTATTACGTAGATTAATTGTGAGGTCAAAGGGGAAGTACTGTGCTGCTGCCACAGCTGGAATTTACACTTGCTTGGTGTCTTTCCACTGCTTTTTAACCCTTTATTGCACTCAAAAGCATACAAGGACTGGCTTTCATGAGCGCAAGCTCTGCTTATTTAGCCCAGAACCTTTCACCAATGACGGATTTATCAGATCTGCCAAGAATCCTTATTTTAAATTGTACTGTCTTCGAAATCATGATTAGGAGCTTTGTGGGAGAGGGAGAGCAGACAGTGGGGGAGGAGTTTCCTTGTAAGCCATCTGGTATGAAGAGAGATATGGTGGATTCAATTTGAATGGAGAGAAAACATGTAAAATCAAAAGACATAGGGAAATCCTATACATCAGAGCATCCACTCTTCCCTTTTATGCTCTCCATACTTTCCTGAAAATGCAGAGATGCAAGCTATTTGGAAGTTTAATGATATGAGTAGCATGATGATCAGTAATAAAGAATATGAACTGTCAAATCCGGGGCTGCATTTTGAAGCACAGGAGCAAGAGGAGATGATCAAGAGTACATTTGTTGTTTGATGATTGAATGTTTTTCTGTTCTTCTTGGTAAAATTCTGAAAATTCCTGGTGTGAGTGAATAGAGTAAGCTGACTCCCTGCTTGCCTAGAATGTTACCATGGATACTAGGACATGAGAGATATTCCACTATGCGAACTTATCTCCTCCACCACAGAGAATACCCCAGTTAGTCATCATAGGGAATGAAGTGGGGGACTGTCTGGTTTCTGTAGAGTCAAGAAAACACAGTAAAGAGGTACCTAAAGAAGGTTAGAGGGAAAAGCAATATTTGGATTTAACCTAGAAAGTAGAGCTTGACACAATGGATGGATGTGTGGATTGTGATAAGTATTGTACAAGCCCCCAATAAAATGATTTATTTTAAAAAGTAAGTAGAGCTGTCTCAAATCTTTCTCTGCAAAGAAAAATCCTCAAAGTAAAGGACATACTAAGAGTCAAAAGACACCAGAGAGAAAATGAGATGACCAGATGCTTACTCTAGCATGTACCCTTGGAAAGCAAACAGACTCACTGATGACTGTTGACATTAACATATGCTTAAGGGATGCATTCTAAGTGTGAAGCTAAAAAGACACACAGACTTAACCTGGGGTTCTAAATTCCATGCTTTATAACTCTGCCTAAGGCACAGTTATTTTTTATGACATTTGGTCAGAATCCAATTATACAGCAACAAAACATTCCATTCGCTATCATCAATTGGCTTTTCCTGATCTTAAAATGGAGCCAAGCAAATGTCAATTTCTTTCTTTGTAGCTCTATTTTGCCTTGCTGAACTGTGAAAATATTTGACCCTCCTTATATTTACATAATCCTAAAAGAGTCTAGAACGTTTATGTTTACAACCTACTGAGTGTGATAAAGGAAAGAGGTCACCTGAAGCTGTTAAATAGGGTAGTACAGGAGAACACTCTGCCCCATCAGATGGGCATTACTGCTGCTCAGTGCCAGTCCTAGCTGCCAGCAGACTAAACAAAACAGAAATCCAAGTCATTCCATTGTGAGCTTAGTCATTACAAAGAGCCCTCTGCAACTACCACTGAGTCAACTCATGACAACCCTACACAGAAGTCTGAACTGCAAACGTTAAAACAACCAAAAGATTAAAGCGACATAAATGAAAATTATTCCAATATATCTAAAAATGCATGCTAACAGTTCAGATTACAAACAAACTTAATAACTGAGAATAAGAAATAGAATATCGAAGTATCCCTACTATCTACTAAATAAATTATATACATACATAGCACTTTATCAAAGAGAACGCTCTTCCCAGATAGTTACACTAATGAATTATAGGAAATATAAAACTCCAAATAGAATTCACTATATAAAAACAATTTTAAAATGTGTGGATAAAGCAATTCCAAACTAATTTTAAGTGGCCAGTTTATCCTCAATTCCAAATTTTGAATATTTTTAGGAAAAGGAAGTTACATAACAGGATATCTCATAAGTTTATATAAAAATTTATTTGCAAAGGCTTTTGACAATGAATTCACTAGCATTTTAAAAGAAAAATACATATTTACCACTAAGATAAAGTTACCCAATAAATACAAAGTTGGTTTGATATTCAAAACTAAGTAATATGTATTACCACATTAAGATAGTAAAGTTAAAAAAGCCTGACTTCTATTTAAATATAAATATGGTATTTATATTTAAAATACCATAAATTGATCTCAATATGTAAACAAAAAGTAATTTAATAAAATAAAACATTCACATTCATTTGAGGAAATCTTTAACTTGCAATAACCTAAAGATAGATATTTTTCTCAATTTATTAAATGACATGTATGATAGATCATACGATACTTGAGTGACATAATTAACATTATTACCATAAACACAAATATGTGTATTTGCACTAACTTTATTAATCTTGTATTGTATCATAAAATTACTAGGTTATGTATAAAGATAATGAAAAGATATAAATTAAATTGAACCGAAAATGCAGATACGAAGATAACTTTATTCAACATGGTTATAGAAAACATGACTGCTTACATAAAAAATTGTAAAAGATACTACCTATCAATTACTAGAACTAACAACAATACCTCAGGTTTCTATGACAGAAGATCTATTTCATTCCAATCTATACAGCAATAATTAGAAAATAAAATTGTTATATTTCCAAAAGGATTAAAAGTATTAATGTTCTTAAGAATTAACATTAATTTAACTAAAGAAGCACAGATCTCTAAAGTGAGTGTGCCAAAATACTGCTTTAAAAATAAAATTTTAAATGACCTAAAAATTAGATGGATGGACCACATTCATGGATTAGAATGCTCAATCGTTGTGAAAATACCGAATATTACCAATTAAACTGATGCTGACATCCAAATGGAAACACAATTAGTCTTTTAATTAGTATAAGCAGAAATATAATTTAAAATATAATTAAAATTATGAAAAGCCTAAATAAAGCAAATAGAACTGAAGAAAGACAAAGTATGAAGACTCATGCAATCTTGCTTGTAAAGCTCAGATAAAATAGCATTATTTATGTAGTTTCATAATACAGCAAAGGAAGACAACATTATATATATATATATATATTTAATAGATCAATAAATAGACAAGAAGAAAGAGAGTGTCAGTTTCTTGGATGGTGCAAGCAAATAAGCAGTCATCTACCAACCACAAAGCCGGGGGTTGGAATTCACCCAGTGTCTCTTCGGAAGACAAGTCACATGTTTCTTCCACAGAGCAGCTTGTCATTTCAAACGATTAACTGTTTAGTGCTTTCACACTGCTATCTATCCATGCCATTTATGTCCAGGTATATAAACATAAATGCAATGATATTGTTGAATCTCAAAATATTATACTAAGCAGAAGAAGGTAGGCAAAAACCCAAAACATATTGTAATAACTCAATTTCTATAAATTTCTAGGACAGTGATAAAAACGTATATGGTTAAAATGAGAGCAATTGTCTATAATGCATGGGGAATAACAGGATAAAGCACTAAAAAATCTCTTTGGGGTGAAAAAAAGCTGTGTTTCTTAGAAAGGTGGTTACATCCACTTACACACTGGAGACTTGAGTACTTCAGGGTCTTTAAAGTTTACCTCCACTAATTGTCTGTCAGTTTTTCATCCTGTGGTTTCTTACATGCTGCTGTGATGCTGTAAACTATGTCACTGTTACTTCAAATATGAGCAGGGTGACCCAAAGGGAACAGGTATCAGCGATGTCTCAAGATTAGGAACAGACAACGGAGAAGGACTCGGCTCCCTATTTTGGATAAAGATGTCTCTACAAGCCAGAACATTGTGGAGACACTGCAAGCAGATGGGCCCCTCAAGTCCGAGGGCATGCAACATATGCCCGAGAGGAGATGGTTTCTTGGAGGACAGCGACCAGGCTGAGGTGCATCTGGTAAAGCCTATGGGAGTGGAGCCATTGGAGTCTTCATTTGCTTATGGGGCATAACTCACGGTACAGAGAAAGCTGCAAAAATCTTCCAATGATTGGAATTTGGAATGTGTGGATTATGAATTTAGGAAAATTGGAAGTGGTCAAAAATGAAATGGAACTCCTGAAGATCAATATCCTAGGCATTAGTGAGCTGAAATGGACTGGTATTGACTATGTGGAATCAGAAAGTCATATGATTTAATATACCAGGAAGGACACAATCAAGAGGAAGTATGTGGAATTAATTGTCAGAAAGGATCTTGCTAAATACACAATACAGTGCAAGACTATTTGTAATTATATTATATTTATCTGCCTTCAAGGAACTCCAATACAATTATTACTCAAATGTATACATCAACCACAAAAGTTAATGATGAAGAAATTGAAGAGTTCTACCAATGACTTCAGTTGGAAACTGATCAAACATGCACTCAAGATGCATTGATAGTTATTGGTGATTGGAAAGCCAAAGTTGGAAACAAAGAGGAAGGAACAGTAGTTGGAAATATGGACTTAGTG